TTTCATTGCTCATCTCATAACAACATCACAGACCTCGCGAGCCCGTCGCCCAGCATGTCTGATGAATTAACACACCTGCACTCATACCAGCTGTGGCGGGACCATGGGTCAGGGCCTCGCAAGACGTCCCAGCGCGTAAGCGCTGGCGCTAGGCTGAGACTGCCCTTATGTCTAACTAGGATTTGTAGCCACATCAGGCATCAGGGCGCACATGTTGTGTTGTATGTTGCTTTGCTTCCACCGCCCTGCTGCGGGGCCACAGGCTGTGTACGCGGGAATATTATACCCTTGTGTACTTACATGTGTACTTAAATGCAATTACAACAAATCAGAGTGAATATTGTGGTCCGACTGGTTGCCTTGATAACCAATGTGTATGCCGGAATAAATGTCATTGGCCGGATCACAGATCCGAGTGCTACATTTTCTGAAAATTTTCTGTGACAGAAAATTGGAAATCTTCTGACCCGGAAAATTTCCAGAAGATTCTCAGAAGATTGATGGAAAATTCCAAATTTTCCGTGACAGAAAATTCTCGGAAAATCTTCAGAAAATCTTCAGAAAATTTCAAATTTTCTGTGCATTTTCTGGGGCAGAAAATACATTAATGTCCGTAGTGTGAGGCTGAAAACTACCAGTGCCAAGCTGGCTTTGCTAACGCCAAATGTGAACGACCTTCAGGGCGTGATTCTGATGCTGTTGCGAAGCCTTGCTGACCGAGCGAAGCCTGTCGATGAAGGTCAGCCGTGAGAACACAACGGTCAAGAGACATGCAGCAACGGGGGGAAATATCACTTCCAGACAAGCACTGGAGGCGAAAGGAGGTCAGCGGGGGAATGACGACGGCGAACAAAGACGCACGATTGGGGAGAATGTCGAGGCCAATGAGACAGGCCCAGAAATGCCCGCTCGCTGTGCTTGTCAACACAAGGTGTGTGTGTTTTGCTATCTTGTTTGTGCTTTTCTGCCCGTGCTAACTTTCTGCCGTGAAAGTGCGCCCAGCACTGGCACCCTGATGCGCCAAGCGACGCCCGCCACACAGATGACCTATCATCTTGATTCCCACCGTCTTCAAGCCTCCCCTTTGTCGAATTCGCCGCAGCGTGGCGACCGCGACCGCACATCGGCGCGAAACTGGACGAATGACATCCGTGTCAATTTAAAGGACTTCCGCCTGTCTGCCTCGCCTTCTTCAGAAATCGCCGCCGAGACACATCAGGGACGCCTCAAAGACGTCAAACACTCTCCAGTCGAGTCCTCAGCGGAAATTAGCCCCCCTGTTCCGCCCGCAGGTAAGTTCATTCGCAAATCTGACGGACTGCAATTGATTCAAGTTCACGCTGTGTCCCGTTCCCATTCATCCCTAAGCGAGTGAGTCGCGCTAAGGGCACAAGCCATTGCTGCCAACGCAAACCATTGCTTCACCGCTGGGCTTGGCTTCTCGCTGAGCTCCAAAGTCCACAAGTTGGCTGGGTTCGTTCTGGCCTTGTCAAGTCGTGTCGGCACTGAGAATGCTGACCCTTTATCAAGATAGCTGCAACCAGCTGCCCTCGTCCTCTGCCCTACGCCCACTCTTGGGACACTCCAGCTTAGGCATTCACAGCACTCATGAGGCTGTCCGTTCCACGACTAACGACGATTATCTATCAAGCTTGACAGAGGACTCTGACCACGACCGCCCCCCACCCTTACCCACCCAGTCGCTTGCTAGCGGCGAGAATGCTGACAGATATCCACGACCAGCGCATGCGCACGCAGAGGGCTTCTCCGGATGAAGAACATGGTGCGTTCTCTGTTGCTTTTGTCTTTGTTGCTCGTCTCATGACAATATCACAGACCTCCCGAGCCTGTCGCCCAGCATGTCCAATGAGTTAACACACCTGCATTTGCTTCCACCGCCCTGCTGCTGGGCCAAAGGCTGTGTACGCGGCATGATCAGTATGAATATTATACCCTTGTGTACTTACATGCATACTTACATGCAATTACAACAAATCAGAGTGAATATTGTGGTCCGACTGATTGCCTTGATAACCAATGTGTATGCCGGGAAAAAATGTCATTGGCCGGATCACAGATCCGAGTGCTACATGTTCTGAAAATTTTCTGTGACAGAAAATTGGAAATCTTCTGACCCGGAAAATTTCCAGAAGATTCTCAGAAGATTGATGGAAAATTCCAAATTTTCCGTGACAGAAAATTCTCGGAAAATCTTCAGAAAATCTTCAGAAAATTTCAAATTTTCTGTGCATTTTCTGGGGCGGAAAATGCATCGACGCGGATGCGTTATTTGGTGACATTACTGTTGCCTCAAAACTGGTCTTACGACCAAACCCCCCGTTTGCGTTTAACGGAGATCGCAAACGCGGCCGCGCCTTCCTATACGCGGTCAAGACTTACGCCCGGCTTGCCCCGGAAGCCTTCGTGGTCGACGGAGAGCCGAGCGAAGAAAAGGCCGTCCGCTACGCCATGTCCTATATGGCGGAGGGACCTGCTCAGCAGTGGGCAGAGCGTCATGGGAGCAAAACCCCCTTCCCCTTCCCTCGGTGGAACCTATTCCTCTCCGAGTTTCGCCTTCGGTTCGTTGAGGAGAACGAGCAGGACCTTGCGCTTGCCAAGTTGGAGAGCGCGGGTTACCACATGGGAACGCGGGATGTCTACGGATACACCGACGACTTCGAGGACCTAATGGACCTTGCCGGATTCGAAGACGCGTTGGTTAAGGTGACCAAGTACCGCCATGGACTTGACCCCCTGATCAACAATGGCATCACGTCCTCGAACGACCCCCCAGACCTCCGTGAGTATCTGGGCTGGCGCACTCGGGCCTTCCGCCAATACGAAGCCTTGGTGCGGGCGAAGCTCATCAAAGGAACCACCCCGCGGACGCCTTCGGGGGCTCCGCGCGGCGCGTTCCCTATCGCCCGTTCGGCAACTCCGTTCCCCATCCGCCCAGTGGCCGCACCTGCGCCACCCGCGGCCCGCGCCCCCGTCCCGGTACCTCCGGCTCCCGTCCCTATGGAGTTGGATCGTACTAGGGCTCGGGGCCGCCCCTCGTCGAGCCTGCTTCAGATGTGGCGACCCCAATCACTTGGCTCGGGATTGTCCGCTCCCCTCCGATGTTCGCCATGTGGACATCCTTGACGAGGTAATCCCACCAGGTATACCCTGTTCTTTCCAAAAGATGTTGGCTACTGCCATACCCTGTAATGCAAAAGATGTTGGGAACAGCTAGGCTGTAAAATAAAAATCGATTTTTATAGGGTTAAATAGATAGATATGACTAATATAACACCATATATAGTAAGCTAATCACCTTTTCTTCAGGCCGATGATGCGGATAAACATTAGGACAAGGCTGTAATACAGAATAATGAAATTGATGGGATGATATGTCACATCTGATGTAACACCATAGATTCATCAAAACCATTGATCTTCATCAAAAATGCTTCCACATGGCAAGACATATCTAGATGCCATCAATCCCATCATGATCCAAGGCCCAGGCAGCTCAAAATAAATTAAAAAGTTAAAAAATATTAGAATAAACCTGAATTTCTAGCCCTTGCCAACATCTTTTGCATTACACCTGTGTGGCAGTAGCCAACATCTTTTGCATAGAACTAGCTATATCAGCTGAACGCGTTAACCAAGAGCTCGAGCAGTACATCCGGATCTTCACCAACTACCAACAAGACGACTGGGACGAGCTTATCCCTGCCGCTGAGTTCGCCTATAACAACCACGTTCACTCCTCCACTCAACAGGTACCCTTTATGACGGACACTGGCCGGCTCCCCCGAATGGGTTTCGAGCCAGGCGCCCGCTCAGAGTTGGAGTCGGTAAACGAGTTTCACGACCGGATAGCTAACGGCGTCTCCGAGGTAAAGGCCGCACTCGTTAAAGCCAAAGACGAGTATAAACGGTACTACGATCGGAAACGTTCGGACGCTCCGAATATTCAAGTTGGTGATAAGGTTTGGCTGGACGCTTCTGACATCAGAACGACTCGGCCCTCCGAGAAGTTCTCCCACAAGCGCCTTGGACCATTCAAGGTGCTCGCAGAGGTTAGCAAAGGTGCCTACAAGCTCGACCTCCCCCCGCGTTACTCCAAGCTCCACCCCGTCTTCCCCGTTGTTAAGCTCAAGCCCGCTCAGGACGACCCCTTCGATGGACGACCCGGCTACGACGAACCGCCCCCCGAACTAGAGGACGGAGTCCCCGAATGGGAAGTCGAGGAAATCTTGGATGCCAGGATAACACTGCGGGCAATGGAGCATATTCCGCCCTGGAATATGTTGAGAATATTATGAATATTCCAGGCTGTATTCATTCCATTTTCTAGGCTGGAATATAACAGGAATATCCGTGGAATATTCTTAATTTTCTCACCATCTGCCATGTATATGACAGCCCGGAAAATGTCGGGCAGATCCGTGGAATATTCTCAATATGCCTCATGTTTTCATTCCATATTCCGGCCTGGAATATATCACATGTTCCAGGCTGGAATATTTTGATCACATTCTGAGACTATCATTGATTGGGATTCTGATTGGGATACCATTTAAGCAAGACCTCTGTGGACCTGTCTATTCCACAAAAGAAAAATAACCTGAACAATTATCATATCTACTCCCAATCTATCTAACGGCTCATACATTCTTCCAGTCCTCAACTTACATTCTGGCACCAGCAGGGGCATAAATATGCTTTGTTGGTAAAGTCAAGCAACTCCAAATTACAAAATCATTTAAAATACTCTCCAGCACACCCGACAAAGACCGATACCATGGCAGTGTTGCACATGTTGCGAGCTCCTGCCGGAAATAACATAGTTTTGGTGTGGGGATGTGACTCCGAGGGGCAAGGCAATGGCTATGAGGAAGAGTCGGCAGTGAGATGTCAGTGAAAAATGGGGGTTCGGTGAATGATGTCGCGCTCGATGGGCCGAGCGAGGCAGCAGCAGTGCAAACTTCGAAGCAAGGTGCGTTGAGCTAGATGCCAGTCAGCGCCGCAGGCGAGCGAAATTGGAGAACGGTGGTGAGGAAGGTTCTGTTCAACTGCAACTGGCGCCGCAGGCCAGGAAAAATTCCCGCTACCCAGGCCAAAACCCATTTTTTTGACGCCGACGCCTGCCCGCTCGAAAGAATGGCCCGTGACCCGCCCCCAGAGGCTCCCCTCCTCAGGGGAAAAGATGTACGTAGTGATCGTCGATAGCGCCCTCCAGCGGAAAATAGTGCAATTTTGGCCACGGAGGGCACGGAGAAGAGTCGAGGGGAAGGGGTGCCAACGCGATCGTTATAGCAGGCGAGCGAAAATGGTGTGCTCGGGGAAGTGTCTAGGGCAGCTAACAGTTTGTTGCTCGTCGTCAAATTGAGCTTGAAAATGACACCGTCCTGGCGGTCTCCGATCTCGGAAAGCGCTGCAACAGCATTGGCGACAACGGTGGCATTGTTGTCGAGCATAAGGTCACGCAGCATCTCCACAAACCCACTCTTCTCTGCCCTGCGTGGGTCGGCCGCATAGAGTTTGGCAACACATATAGCGGCCATTTTGCGAACATAAGGATCATTGTCCTTCAGACAGTACCTTAAGTTGTCGTTCAGCGCGTCTGTCACGACCGGGATGGGGATGTAGGACATCGTTCGGATGGCCAACGCCCGAATAAGCGGGTTACGATCGTTGCAGTCCTTAGCAAAGTTAGAAGGAAACATTGAGACAGTGTTGACCGCGCACCTGGAGGAAGTTGGGAATGACCAGGTGTATTTGCTCCGGCTTGGAGCGCCCGTAGCTGACGAGGAAAAGGTAAACCACTAGAAGATCGGTCAACAGACAGTGCGTTACAAAGTCGATTTCACAACGCTCATGCCCGACGAAGAAGACGAGTTCTACGACAGTGATGAGGATGTCCTTTGACGTTACTGTTCTGGGCTCATCAGAGGCCCATCTGGTCAGGGCACGCCAGGTGGGATGGGGGGAGGGGAGGGTGTCGGAGGAAGTGAGAGAGAAGGTTGTGATGGAGGTTTGTCCCGAGCGAAAACTCCACTTCATAAAGCGGGAGGAACTGATTGCGGCATTCAACGCTCTTCGCGTCAGTGTCGCTGCACGTAAAAGGAAAATGTAAACATTTTCTGTCTTCCATCCAGGGTATGTCTTCGCTTCCGACAGTCGTTAGTGGAACTCACACCTGATAGGGATTCGATGGAGCCCGTAGTAAAATCTATATGCAGTGCTGTACCACAGTACATAAGTCAGAATAACACGGTCTCTGGTGCCTAAACAAGGTCAATCAACATTGAAGAGCTGAAGCAGAATCGACGCACTATTCCCCTCGTTTCGAATGCTAGCCAATCGCCTGTCCCAGTCGGTAGCAACCCCATAGACCGACATTTCCAAAGTCCGACCACAAGCGTTAATGCACAAGATAAATAGCGTCTTCTGGCCGATCAGGGTCGTGAGCGACTTGGGATTTGCGGCCGTGGTCGGGGCAAACTGGGCGAATGCTGGCGAAGTCAGTCGGCTGAGAAGAAATGCGGGTAGCGCAGCCACGCACCCTGGTTCATTCCAGCAATGTTCTTGAATGGACTGAGGAGCAGCATGAAGACGATGCCCATGCTGAATATCTGCACTCCGCTGCCCGACATGTACAGCATAAACGCCTGCATAGGCAGCTGCTTCGCCCGGCCCCAGGGCGAAGTCGATGGCCCGCTTCTCTTTGAGGGTGTTGTACGACTCAGGAGACCGGACAGCAGCGGCTTTCCCGGTGCTTTTGGACTTGACAGAAGTGAGTTGCGCAATGGGTGCAATCAACGCCGCCGTACCCGACGTGGACTTGGAAAAGCCTGGCGGGTGGAGTGCTGAGCCAGCTAGTGGCGAATGAGCTGGGTTGCCGTTGACTTCCCATCAGCCTTCGATCCACCCGATTTGGCGCCTGAAGAGATTGTCAGCAATGAGAATCATCTTCCGACACTTCACGCACCTGTGTCGCCCGTCTGCTTCCTCTTCCCGGGCTTCCCCACGTCTGTCTTCCTGGCAGGCAGTCGGGAGCTGCGGACTCATTTGAGCTGTTCAGCTGCAGGAGTTGTTGCTTCAGGGTCCCCGGAGGAGGCTTGGGTCGAGGCCCGGCTGGTTGCGCCAGAGCCAGAATGCTTGCGTTTGGCGGACAAGCTCGGTCAATCGATCGATCAAGTGCTGTCACTCCAGTGACAGCACTGCCATCTCATGACGATCACTGGCTGTCGGTACCCATGAGCGGGTAACATAATCGCTACCCGCACCCGTACCCGTGCCGTTGCCTAGCCGTTGGTGCCAACTCGGGCGGGCGCCAAGGGAAGCGCGGCCGTGTTATGTCGGAAGGGGCAGGCTGTCCCGGGCGGCAGCGCAGGTGTTTGCAGGGCGCTCCGAGTAGCAGCGAAGCCACGGCAATTGTGGTCGTGGTCGTGGTTGGTGTGGGCGTCAAGAATCGATCTTCAGGTTGACTCGAGGAAGACCCGGAGGACTTGTCCCAGCGTGTTCGGTGTGTCCCAGGCATATGCGGCGGGCTTCTTCATTTCCTGAAATCCTCAGGCGGAACGGGCCAGCCCTGCACGGCCCGACCTTGTGTTCCAGCCCGTCTGCCACGTGGAATGAGCCTTAGTGTATCCACATGCATGAGATAGATTTTGAAAGTTACCTCTGGTCAGATTGTGAGTTGTTGCTTGGGCCCAACACATCTGCCATGATGAGCACAGAGTAGTAAATCTATTTTTGTGAGTTAGCCAAAAGTATCAGTATAAAGTTGTTATCTATGACTACCAATTATCCATTGCAGGAAAAAGCTCTTGATTGTTGGAAGGGCTAAAAAGCAAATCAGACAAGGAAATATATGAAGCTGAGAAACTTGCTAGATAAGTTTGAAAAGGCCAGGCCAGGCCATCTTCAATGCATAATCAAGTACTGAGGCAATTGCGGTCGTGCTGAGGCGATCCCATATATAACCAGACTGTCGGTCGTGCTGTGGAAAAGCCCTCTACAACCAGCAAGAGCAGTTGTGCTGAGGCCAGTCCATATACAACCAGACTGTCGGTCATGCTGGGGAAAGCCCTCTACAACCAGCAAGGGAGCGGTCGTGCTGAGGCAAGCCCGTATATAACCAGACTGTCGGTCGTGCTGTGGAAAAGCCCTCTACAACCAGCAAGAGCGGTCGTGCTGAGGCCAGTCCATATACAACCAGACTGTCGGTCATGCTGGGGAAAGCCCTCTACAACCAGCAAGGGAGCGGTCGTGCTGAGGCAAGCCCGTATATAACCAGACTGTCAGTCGTGCTGTGGAAAAGCCCTCTACAACCAGCAAGAGCGGTCGTGCTGAGGCCAGTCCATATACAACCAGACTGTCGGTCATGCTGGGGAAAGCCCTCTACAACCAGCAAGGGAGCGGTCATGCTGAGGCAAGCCCGTATATAACCAGACTGTCGGTCGTGCTGTGGAAAAGCCCTCTACAACCAGCAAGAGCGGTCGTGCTGAGGCCAGTCCATATACAACCAGACTGTCGGTCATGCTGGGGAAAGCCCTCTACAACCAGCAAGGGAGCGGTCGTGCTGAGGCAAGCCCGTATATAACCAGACTGTCGGTCGTGCTGTGGAAAAGCCCTCTACAACCAGCAAGAGCGGTCGTGCTGAGGCCAGTCCATATACAACCAGACTGTCGGTCATGCTGGGGAAAGCCCTCTACAACCAGCAAGGGAGCGGTCGTGCTGAGGCAAGCCCGTATATAACCAGACTGTCGGTCGTGCTGTGGAAAAGCCCTCTACAACCAGCAAGAGCGGTCGTGCTGAGGCCAGTCCATATACAACCAGACTGTCGGTCATGCTGGGGAAAGCCCTCTACAACCAGCAAGGGAGCGGGTCGTGCTGAGGCAAGCCCGTATATAACCAGACTGTCAGTCGTGCTGTGGAAAAGCCCTCTACAACCAGCAAGAGCGGTCGTGCTGAGGCCAGTCCATATACAACCAGACTGTCGGTCATGCTGGGGAAAGCCCTCTACAACCAGCAAGGGAGCGGTCATGCTGAGGCAAGCCCGTATATAACCAGACTGTCGGTCGTGCTGTGGAAAAGCCCTCTACAACCAGCAAGAGCGGTCGTGCTGAGGCCAGTCCATATACAACCAGACTGTCGGTCATGCTGGGGAAAGCCCTCTACAACCAGCAAGGGAGCGGTCGTGCTGAGGCAAGCCCGTATATAACCAGACTGTCGGTCGTGCTGTGGAAAAGCCCTCTACAACCAGCAAGAGCGGTCATGCTGAGGCCAGTCCATATACAACCAGACTGTCGGTCATGCTGGGGAAAGCCCTCTACAACCAGCAAGGGAGCGGTCATGCTGAGGCAAGCCCGTATATAACCAGACTGTCGGTCGTGCTGTGGAAAAGCCCTCTACAACCAGCAAGAGCAGTTGTGCTGAGGCCAGTCCATATACAACCAGACTGTCGGTCATGCTGGGGAAAGCCCTCTACAACCAGCAAGGGAGCGGTCGTGCTGAGGCAAGCCCGTATATAACCAGACTGTCGGTCGTGCTGTGGAAAAGCCCTCTACAACCAGTAAGAGCGGTCGTGCTGAGGCCAGTCCATATACAACCAGACTGTCGGTCATGCTGGGGAAAGCCCTCTACAACCAGCAAGGGAGCGGTCGTGCTGAGGCAAGCCCGTATATAACCAGACTGTCAGTCGTGCTGTGGAAAAGCCCTCTACAACCAGCAAGAGCGGTCGTGCTGAGGCCAGTCCATATACAACCAGACTGTCGGTCATGCTGGGGAAAGCCCTCTACAACCAGCAAGGGAGCGGTCATGCTGAGGCAAGCCCGTATATAACCAGACTGTCGGTCGTGCTGTGGAAAAGCCCTCTACAACCAGCAAGAGCGGTCATGCTGAGGCCAGTCCATATACAACCAGACTGTCGGTCATGCTGGGGAAAGCCCTCTACAACCAGCAAGGGGAGCGGTCATGCTGAGGCAAGCCCGTATATAACCAGACTGTCGGTCGTGCTGTGGAAAAGCCCTCTACAACCAGCAAGAGCAGTTGTGCTGAGGCCAGTCCATATACAACCAGACTGTCGGTCATGCTGGGGAAAGCCCTCTACAACCAGCAAGGGAGCGGTCGTGCTGAGGCAAGCCCGTATATAACCAGACTGTCAGTCGTGCTGTGGAAAAGCCCTCTACAACCAGCAAGAGCGGTCGTGCTGAGGCCAGTCCATATACAACCAGACTGTCGGTCATGCTGGGGAAAGCCCTCTACAACCAGCAAGGGAGCGGTCATGCTGAGGCAAGCCCGTATATAACCAGACTGTCGGTCGTGCTGTGGAAAAGCCCTCTACAACCAGCGAAAGCGGTCGTGCTGAGGCCAGTCCATGTACAACCAGACTGTCGGTCATACTAGGGACAGTGCCCTCTACAACCAGCAAGGAAGCCACAGAAACACTAGAGCATTAAATAAGCATTGGCTATATATATTATCTTACTCACAGTTTATCCTTACTTGCTTATGCTGAGCCTATCCCGCTGCCAGAGGCATGCGCGGCAGTGGTGCACATGATGAGCAGCAGTACACGTGACAGCCAGTAGTCACGTGACAGCCAGCAGATGTGGCTGTGAAGGTGGCGGCTTTGCGGGTGAGTTAGAGTTCCGACAAATGTGCACCTCAAGTAAGGGTCAGAACAATAAAAGCAAGCCAGGATAGCATATGTACCTTGCCACTCACAGCACCAGATGTGAGCAGGCTTGTCAGGTTGGACAACTAATCAGCCCCATGAAAGAAAAATAATGAAAAAAAACTCACTGGTTTTGCCTTCAAGTTGAACTTATGCAACCCCAGCATCAGCATGCCCGGGAGGAGCTCCTTCGTCGCAAGCACTTCTTTTCCAGCGCTGCAGACCCGACTCTCACCCACAAGCTTTTGGGGACAGGCCCGAGAGGGGTGAGATCGTGAATAAGCTTCGTGATGGTCTTGCAAACTTCTTGCGCCACTCGTTGTTCAATGGCAGACCCTAGTCCCAGATCGGACATGAAACTGCCCACATCGTCGCCCAGTTGGGCCCATGTGTTCTTCTGGACAACACGAGATTGTGGATGAGGAAGGTGACGATGGTGACAAAAGAGGGGGAGAGGAGGCACTGAGCTTCCAGATGCCTTTTCTGCAGGCGGTATACCAAACAGCCGTCCTCTCTTCCTAACTTGTCGTCCGGCTCGTGTCGAGGTCGTGGTGTAACGTGAGAGAAACCTCGGCGCTATGACCCGAAAACACGTCACCTGCGCTGAGTGATTTGTCAGAGTCCAACTGGGAAGACTCTGACTAAGCATGACCCAGGAGGGGTCCAAAGTCAGGCAAAAAGAAAGTCACTCTTCGCGGCTATGAAACCCAGCGCGCTCTCAAAGAGCCAATGACCTCAAGATTCAACACAGCTTCGTACAGCCGACTCCCCGGACCCAATTTTATTGGTTTAAAATCTACAATTCGAGTCTCGTAGGATTGTTTCTGAAGGCCCGGGTCCGGCAGTATACGACGACGGCGCCGCAGCCACTGGCATCATACCCCGCGGCCGCACCAGACCCACTCCTGGCACTCCCGCCTCCTGACATCAGTGCTTACCTCTCCGGTGCTGGCAACAATTCATACACCTGACGCCTCCCCGCCCGCGCCCCACGGCCATTTACCGAGCTTCCTTGCAGCGCCCGCCACCGCCGCCCGACCCGCCCACGCGATCTCATGGTGACTCTGTTCGCCGCTGCCCGTGGCGTCATCGATCGCGCCGAGCAGCGTCCTGCGGAGCTGCTCGACACTCTCGGATGTCATTCCGCCAGATAGCAAGCACGAAAAAGAGCTCAGGACTGTCGGGGCGAATTGACGAAGAGAGAGGCCCCGCCTATCACGCAGTTATACTTGGGCGGGTTTTCAAAGTACCTGTGGTATGTCAGTATCGAAAGGGGGGGAGATGAAGGCATGTCTTGGTGAAAGCCGAGGTATAAGTTGGTGAACGCGATGTTGGTACTTGTTGCGCTGCCACTCGCGCAAGTTGACGACATCATCCCACCGGCCCA